AATATTTTTACATAATTGAATGTCCAGGTTCCTCGAGTGACAGTTGCTGGTGAACTTTAAGAGCTTATGCCTTATTATTTACTCAAAATGTCTCAACTCATGGGTGGGCGACTCAGTACTACCAATTAGGAACTTAACTGTATACTTTTTGTTTCAGTTAAATGATGATGTTAAAAAGTAACTTTATTATTATTAATTGGTATAAATATTCTGTTTGGGGGAGTTGAAAGAAATGTATACTTATCAGATAATAAAATAAATAAATAAGAAATGTATTTTAATATGTTCAAACCTTTTTGTCGTGTCAATTCACGTTATATTAAATTATTTACATTTCACTTTATTGCATCAATTACCTTAAATTAAAACACAAAATGCACAAAAAGGCAGCAATTACACAACATTATTTTTTGGAATTCCACAATTATTTAACATTTAAGTAAACCCTCTATAACCATAAAAGCAACCTGCTTATCAGTACTTAGCAGAGGACTGTAAAAAGCCTCAATTAAATTAAAAAGCATTACGTAAACAGGGTAGATAAAGCGGACAGCACGTAATATTTGTGCATAAATACGTCATACTGGGGGGAAAGGCGACAAACCAAAATACGCAGACTGTATCGATTTAGTTGGCTATTTCTGCATTGTTAATACGCCGTGTTGTGCCCGCATTATTTAATGTTCAAGCCATCGATTTCGCCCGGCGGCTGCAATGTCAATATCAAAGACACTGCGCAGCAAGGTTGCGGAAGCCGTACTAGTTTCCTGCCGGAGAAGTGCTGAATTTCTGCCGCACTGCTAATTGAATTTACAGGGGCGACAGGTGGCACAATGCAAGGTATAAATGCCGGATTGCCAATGAGCGCTAATTAATAGTCAAGCGGACCACGCAACGCGGCGTATCCCAAAACAAACGAGCGCGAAACGTGAAATTCACTTAAATTACTAACTATTCATCCGGAGAAACTTTCGAATAACAGCTTCAAAATGGTGGTCAACTTCAAGGTGTTTAAGAAATGTTCCCCGAACAACATGATCACGCTCTACATGAACAGGCGTGAATTTGTGGATTCCGTGACGCAAGTGGAGCCCATTGGTAGGTATCACAAAAGGATACAAAATGTGGGATTTAAATAGAACAAGAATTTACACAATACGAATAACAGCATTAATACTCGGATACAAGAATTAAATTGGTAGTCTATGGATTATTATTACTCTAGACCAATTACAACTTAAATGTATCTTAATTTTTTTGTACGCTGTAAAAGAACTTTTTACATTTAAGTTAAATATTGTTCGCTAAGTAAATTCGTACCTTGCATCTGTTTTAAACAGTTAAAATAAATTAAAAGATATATAAATTTTGTATAATTAAAAAATGTATTGAATAACATCGTATTGAATGTATTTTACCTTGATTAACAGACTTTTAATTAAATCATGCAATTCAATATGTTGTGTATTTAACTTACATTTTAAATACGAATTTTTGATTTCAATATACAGCATTAATTTACTTTTTTTTCCCGAACTAAAAATTTGGGAATATTTGTTGATAAACCCAAGAAACATTTGTAACTACATGAAATATACTACCTTTAATATAGTCAGCAATTATAATAATTTTCACATTGAACTGAGATTTTCCTGGCAGCAAATATGCCCTCTTGGGCATAATTAAATTCTCGTCCAATTTATGCAATCCAAGGCGGCTGTATTAACAGCGAACCAGGCTTATTAGTTACGTGACCCGGCATACCACGTGGCTGGGCCATCGTTTCGGTAATCACCGATTAATTAGCATCCCTTTGCAGATGGAATCGTGGTGCTGGACGATGAGTATGTGCGTCAGAATCGCAAGATCTTCGTGCAGTTGGTCTGCAATTTCCGCTACGGTCGCGAGGATGACGAGATGATCGGCCTGAGGTTCCAAAAGGAGCTGACCCTGGTCTCGCAGCAGGTGTGCCCGCCCCAGAAGCAGGACATCCAGCTGACCAAAATGCAGGAGCGCCTGCTAAAGAAGCTGGGCTCCAATGCCTATCCCTTTGTGATGCAGATGCCACCCAGTTCGCCGGCCTCGGTGGTCCTCCAGCAGAAGGCCAGTGACGAGAGCCAGCCGTGCGGAGTGCAGTACTTCGTGAAGATCTTCACCGGGGACAGTGACTGCGACCGGTCGCATCGTAGGAGCACCATCAATTTGGGCATCCGCAAGGTGCAGTTCGCACCCACCAAGCAGGGAATCCAGCCCTGCACCGTCGTCCGCAAGGACTTCCTCCTGTCGCCCGGGGAACTTGAACTGGAGGTGACCCTCGATAAGCAGCTGTATCATCACGGCGAGAAGATCTCGGTGAACATCTGCGTGCGCAACAACTCGAACAAGGTGGTCAAGAAGGTCAAGGCCATGGTGCAACAGGGCGTGGATGTGGTGCTCTTCCAGAATGGCCAGTTCCGCAACACGATCGCCTTCATGGAGACGAGCGAGGGATGTCCCCTGAACCCGGGATCCAGTCTGCAGAAGGTCATGTACCTGGTGCCCACCCTGGTGGCCAACTGCGACCGTGCGGGCATCGCCGTCGAGGGGGATATCAAGCGCAAGGATACTGCTCTGGCCTCGACCACATTGTGAGTAGCTATTTGTTTACCTATAAAAAATAAAATAATGGTTCTCTTCAAAATTATTAAGTTCAACAATTAGTTTTTCCGAAAATGATCCATTTTAAATTGCTCAAAGTCGTACAATCATAGTTTCTACAGAAAGACTACATTTTCAAATCTGAATTTTCCATTTTAAGCCACTTAGGTTCTTTAAATAATATCGTTTCCTTACCTAATTTAAATTATTTTAAAGAAATTAAAATATTACGGTCGTGCCACACTAAGCACTAGAGCTTGAATTACTTTTAAATGTCATTTTAGGTGTCTAAAAGTATACAATATTATATTAATAACTTGGAAGTACAAAGAATTCATTTCCTTCTATTTTTAAATGCACGACAATATATGATATATAATATTACATATTGGCATTTTTCTGATTATCATATTTATTATAACTAAAAATTAATTATAGTTTTATAACAAAATAAATAAAATACAATATTTCATTTTCAGAATTGCCAGTCAGGATGCCAGGGATGCCTTTGGCATAATTGTTTCGTATGCTGTGAAGGTCAAGCTCTTTTTGGGAGCCTTGGGCGGTGAGCTCTGTGCTGAGCTGCCCTTCATCCTGATGCACCCGAAGGTGAAAGAAACGCTTTTCAAATATTGTTAAAACAATTAATAACTAATCATCCTTTTGCAGCCAAGCCGTAAGGCCCAACTTGAAGCCGAGGGCTCCATCGAAGCCTAAACAGAAATGGCTACCTCAACTGATGACAAAAAATTGCGAATTTCTACAGGTCTACCCGATGTTTGTGGATCTTAAAAAATGCTGATGTTGCTGAAATGTTCTGAACTGCAGTCGTCGTACTTTTCCTATATAGCAAATCCAATATTCATATATGTGTGTATGTGTATTATATTTATAACTCAACCAACAATTAAATATGAACAGAGTTTATATACGTATTTGGGAATATTGCATTGAAACTAACTGAAAAACTAAATTTGATATCTGAATTTAACGGGGTTGGTTTATCAAATATCAAGACTAACAAGTTCTAGAACTCTGTCGAATTTTGGCCAAGGAATAGTCTAAACAATATTCAATCTGTTGAATAGAATGCACACAGGCAAACCACTTAATAATACACATTCACAAGGCATTTCCTCAGTAGGTATTTGATATCTTGCAATGTCTGCTGGTTATGCATTTATTCAAGTGCAATGGGGAAATCAACTGAAGCCAGTCCATTCTATTCAATTCTGATAGTAGGCCTTGCTTTTGTGGTTAAGTAATTCTAATTATTGCTACCCTAAGAAGCTGAGAGGATGCCTAATTAATTCATAAGAAGATGCTGGAGCAAGTTTACCGAACTAAGTCGGGAGTTAAGAGATAATTGGATATAATATAGTCAAGTTTAAAGTGCACTTAAAAAGTGTTTAGTAGATGGTTTCTTACAGTTTAAATTAGCTTATGTTGATTTTACATCCCTTAACAGCAGCATCCATTTAATTTGGCAATGTTTAGAGCCAAATGGTCTGTGGCATTTTCAATAAGCCACGATAGTTTTCGGTAAAGCACTGACTAAGATTAATTTGCCTACAGTTAAGTCATCATTTGCGGTCAAAATACAGCTCGAAAAGTGGCTAATCACATTGGGGTAACAAACGAACATTTGGCAAACCAGGTGGTTGATTAGTCAAAATGATTTCGCATAATAGCACTAATCGAATTTTAGTAGGGCAGATTAGATTATCGTCTTTGGAAACGTTATTTTATAATTCAAGACAATAAAATTGCATTCCAAACACACATATAGCCTATATAACCGACAAGATGGCGAGACTCAAGGCAGAAATAGTTGACCGCATTTAGAGTTTAATCAACTAGTTCTGAGTACTTTTATTATGCGAAACAGAAAGTACTCTTTAATATTATTATAGGTTGAATTATTTAAGGAAATAATAATAATTAAAAATATTATGTTATTATTATATTATTTTATATTATTATTATTATATTATATATTATTATTATTTAGCAATACATATATTAGTTTCTTAAACAAGAAAACCCTTACCCTTACACTTTCACCTGCGATCTGATATGGGTTACCATGGGGTTTCGGTAGTTGGTCTTAGGCATTATCAAAAATCTACAACCGTTAGTCTGGCTGATAAGGCAACACCCCCAAAAAAAATTTGGTGCAGTTGTCTGCACGAATCAAGGTCTTAAGTGCCCAATACATACTCTTAAATCCCAATCACCCCACGTTATCAGTTCAGCAAACAAAAGCCCAAGCAAGTTATTACAGTAGGCATGCTGATTACCCGCCACTTTATTTACTAGTGGATAATCTATTAAGTGGAGCATGAATAAAAAGACTAGTGCTATTTTTCCGCTGGGCAGTCGCTTGGAAGCCTTTGTCTCGCCTCAACATGTGTTGCAGCTGCTGTGGAGTGACCCAACAAAAGGTCTGGGTCTTTGGACTCGGAACCCTTTTCGCGGTCTGCGGACTCTTGGCCATAATATGCGGGCCCAGCTTTATAGACTCGATGGTTATGAAGGTGAGTGAGGGGGGGTAAACGATTAAAATAAATGAGGAGTACTAAACGATTTATTTAAAAGGCCCTGCCCCTGACGCCCACTTCGAAGACCTTTGAAAAATGGGAGGAGCTGCCCATTCCCGTATATATCTACATGTATCTTTGGAACTGGACAAATGCCGCAGATGTCCAGGCTTATAAAGTGAAACCCACTTTCGAACAACTGGGTCCCTATGTCTATCGAGAGGAGAGAAAGAAAATGGACATCGAGTGGCACGATAATGGAACGGTGACCTATAACCCCCGGAGAACTTGGTTCTGGGAAGAAGAGTTGTCCGGTGGCAAGCAAACGGATTTAATTACTGTCCCCCATTTACCTTCGCTGGTGAGTAAAAACAGTTTTCTAAATAAATTTAATTATATGGTTTTTCAATAAAAAATTTCATTTCCTAAGGCTGCTTCCAGTCAAATGCGAAATAGTCCTGCCTTACTGAAGATCATGTTCAACCAGGCTCTGAATGCGAATGGAGGACATCTTTTTGTGACTCACACGGCAGCCGAATGGCTTTTCGACAGTTTCTACGATGAGTTCCTTCATTACGCCATGACCCTCAATAATCCTTTGGCTCCAACCGTCGAGGATGATCACTTTGCCTGGTTCCTCCATCGCAACGGATCAAAGGACTTCGAAGGACCTTTCACCGTTCACACCGGAGTGGGTGACATCAAAGAGATGGGTGAAATCAAATTCTGGAAGGGCCAAAATCACACAGGATGGTACGATGGCGAATGTGGACGGCTCAATGGCAGCACCACCGATCTGTTCGTGCCCGATGAGCCCAAGGAGAAGGCCTTGACCATCTTCATCCCGGACACTTGTCGCATAATAAATCTGGAGTTTACGGGCCAGAAAGAAACGATTCAGGGCATCGAGGGATGGAAGTATGAAATAACACCGAATACCTTCGACAATGGTCAGATCAATGGGAACGCAAAGTGTTGGTGTCCTTTGGAAAGGCAACCGGATAATTGTCCTGCAACTGGGGCAACTGATTTGGGACCTTGTGCCGAGGGGGTTCCCATGTACCTGTCGGCGGATCATTTTATGTACGCGGATGAGAGCTATAGCAACACGATCAACGGCTTCCACCCCAACTACGATCAAAACAACTTCTATATCATTATGAACCGAAAGTTGGGCGTGCCCTTGAAGGTCAATGCCAATGTGATGGTCACTTTGTACATAGAGTCAGATGATGTCATTGAGTGAGTAATCATGTTAAGCATTACATAAATATTTTTATACAATTATGTTGTTATCTACCCAAAGCATACTGAAGGACCTTCCCAGTTTTTATGCACCTCTTTTCACCACCTCCAGTCGAGCGGAAGTCAATGAAGCACTAGCCTCAGAACTTAAGGTTAATTTCGGAAAAAAATATTACATAAATTTATTAACTAATTTGAATTATACTTACAGTTGGCGCTCAGTCTACCTGCAATTGGTAGATATATTGGAGTGGGATTACTGTGTCTGGGTTGCATTTTAATCGCCGTTGGCCTGCTCCTTACCATTAAGAGGAAATGGTATGGCCAATCTGAATCGGATAGATTAGCTCTCAAGGATAATGAGGAAAGGCCAAATGAACCAGATACAGAAGCCAATGAAGTCGACAGAAAATTGTAACTTAGTCTTAACATTTTGCATACACAGCAAGCACATCAGTGTGATTTGCAAGAAAAACTTCATGTGATAATAATTTAATGTGTTATAAATAAATAAATGCATAATATTGAATGAAATAATAGTAATTATTTTCGCTGTTATTCAAAAGTCCAACAAATTTTTTAATACGCTTATCATAAAACGTTAAGACAATTGTGATGGCTTATGTATTGTAGAAAGCTTTGATCGATTAACTTCATTAAATTGTAAAATCAAAAGGTGTTAAAATACTGTCTACAGCTTTGCTGACAGTGTACCAAATAAGTATAACGCAAAATAATTAAGATTAATTGCGCTCTTATCTAAAAGTTCTACGAATTTTTAATCAACTTATCAAAAAACCTGAAGACTATGTATTGGAGAGAGCTTTTAACGATTTACCTATCAGGAGAGTTCCAAGTTAAGAATTCAAAATAACATTAAAAATATGAGAATCAGCAGTTCATTGGAGAGATACCGCTTTTGAAATCTAATCTGGATGATGAGAGGATTGGACATCGATGAATTCCAAAAGTGGGCTCGCCTATAAATATCAGCGGATAAAGTTAATGGCGTACCAGTTGCAAAAATCGATCGGAAGCTATGTGTTGCAGTTGCTGCAGTGTCCGCCAGCAAAAGATCTGGGTCTTCACCTTGGGAGGCCTAATCCTGGTTCTGGGGATTTTCTTGGCCTCAGCCTGGCCAGTCGTGTCTCGCCAATGGATTCGCAGTATTTTGCCCTTGGCCCCCAATTCCTTTATATACAAACGCTGGGTGACCACGCCAATGCCGCTGTATAGCACAATTTACCTCTTCAACTGGACTAATCCGGAGGATCTGAACACCGAGGGCGTTAAGCCCAACTTTGAGCAGCTGGGTCCGTACACTTTCAGTGAGTTCAAGGTTAAGGAGGATTTGCAGTGGGATCAACCCCAGGTGACTTATTTTGGCAAACGCACCTGGCACTTTCTACCCGAAAAATCAAACGGCTCGCTGGAGGATGTGATTGTGGCGCCACACTTTCCATCTTCGGTAAGTCTGTCCAAAAATTAATGGTTACAATACGCAAACACTAAAAAAAAGGTTTTATAAGATATGATTACATGTCTTAGAAATACCTTAAACAAAGCAGTGAAAAAGAAAAAAACAATATTAATTTAATGTGAATACTTGAATGATGTGAAGTACTTTATTTTCAAATAATTTGTGGATAAAATTAACCTTAAATAATTGCTTATAGAAGTTGTCTTTTAAATATCAAGATATTATTTGGTACGAAACATCAGTTACTGTGAAGCAATCCTCTTTATTTGGAAATCTTTATTGAGAGTGCCGAGTCTCTGTGCGAATATCTGTCACCACATCGAGTAATCTCCGCTAATCCCGCTATCCGCTTTAGACAGCCGCTTTCTATTCGCGCCGATTACGCCGCACTCTGCGCAAGGTCATGAACTTTGCCCTCAATCGCGAGGGCGGCGCCACCCACATGACCCACACGGCTGGTCAGTGGCTCTTCGACGGCTACTACGACCATCTGCTGGACTTTGTGGAGCAGCTGCATTCGCCCTTGTTCCCCGTTAACAGCAATACATTTGGCTGGTTTTACGAGAGGAACAACTCCAAGACGGCCGAGGGGAACTTTACAATCCACACTGGCCGTGGAGATCTTAGCCGGATGGGAGATCTGCTCCTGTGGAATGGTCAAAATACAACTGGTTATTATCCCGGCGAGTGTGGCAAGGTCAATGGCAGCACGGGGGAACTCTGGTCGCCGGACAGGAAATGGAATCAGCCCACCTCCATTTTCCTACCCGATGCAGCGCGTTACCTGAACCTTTTCCCCACGGAAAACCTGACTGTCGATGGCATAGCTGTGTGGCGCTATGAATCCACCAATCTCACCCTCGACAATGGCCAGTTGTCACCGGACACCAAGTGCTTTTGCCTCAAGAATCGCGAGTGTCCGCGCAACGGAGTCCTGGATTATGGACCGCCCGCCTTCAATGGTCCGTTCTACATGTCGCATCCGCACTTCTATCTCACGGATGAAATGTACAGGGAGAACACCACGGGTCTGCAGCCCCAGAAAACCAAGCACGGAATGTTTGTTATTATGGAACCCACTCTTGGTATTCCGCTGAGCCTGAGGGGCCAGCTCATGATTAGCACGAGAGTGGAGCGCGATGAGGCAATCGAGTGAGTTTTAGATTTAACTAGAATGGAACTTTAAGAATGTAACTTATAAAGTCACCGGAATTTAAGGATATTTTCTGTGAAAAATAAGGTCCTTATATCATTTAAACCAATATCTTGATAAAATTAAATCAATATTACTAAAACTTTTACCAAAGAAAATTTTAATTTGCTAGCCGTTTTATTTTTTTAAAGTCAAAAGACTTTCATATTTGACCTAAATTAGTTTGAAATTCATTGAACTACATTAAATACTATCTACCTCAATAACATTTATAAGATTATTTAATACTTGATTTAAATATTTTTAATAATGTAGGTAAGGTATTTTAATATTAGCTATATTTTTTCCTGTCTAGCTTATTCAAGGATGTAGCCTATGATCACTATGCACCCCTTTTTACCATGCAAATTCATGCGAAATTAGATGAGAACCTCACAAGCTTACTTCAGGTAAGTTTAAAGTGTTTCTTTTTAAAGAAGAATTAAACCTACGTAAATTCCTTTTTCTACAGCTTGCCTTAAATGTAGCGACTATTGGAATGTTTACAGGAATCGGATTAGTTCTCTTGGGACTATCAGTGATCCTATTGGGCATATTTATCACAAAGAATCACAAGTGGTGCAATGAACAAAAGACCGAGGGCTATCAATAATTCAAAGCGGATGACTAACCAGTCAAATACACTTGAACCTGATAAGTCGTTTAGCGCTAACAAAGCAATAATCTGGCTAATCACTGCGGAAATTTTGGGCATTTCTTAAGGCCACAATCAGTCAGAGCTCTTAAAGGCCAGGCCATAAAAAATGTAAATTACGTGCTCGTCTAGATTATCCAATTTCGCTCAGGTGTTGCCCAGCAGAGGGCATCTAGAATTACACTAAATTATGGCCTTTCAAATATGCTAAAATTTATTAATATGTTAATAATTGTTTTTTGCTGTTCGTTCATGCCATGCAAAGGAGGAGGAAAAGAGAAATCCTTGAGCACGTAAGCTGCATACTTTACGGCGTACGAACTCTTTCACCAGCCAGAGCCGGCAAATACCGAACTGGAAATTTGAAAAATGCCAAAAGAATATTATAAGCGACTAATTTATATGCACCAAGCACGCAAACTTACGTTTTGCACACACATTGTTTGTGGCCCACGAAAAGGACGAAGGAACAAGTTAAACAATGTATGAAAATATGAAAATTATATGACTGCCAGTATGTGTCGGCCATAACTTTAACAAAAATTCTCTGACGGGGTGAGCAAACTGGGGTAATAAAGTACATGGTTAAAGAATTGCCATAATTAAATGAAAATATTCTATGCAAACGATTTTAAACCAATAAATCCTTTAAAAAAATAAGGTGGCATATGAATTCAATAATGTAAGTTATTTTAGCTAATTAAATGGATGTGTATTTAAGGACCTTTCAAAAACTGCCACAAGTCAAAAAGCTATTTTCTTAATATTTATTATTATTTTTAATTTTTTTCTTACTCATTGGCTGTAAGTCAACATTTGTCATGGCGAAAATTAAAAATACTTTTATTCTTTGTCCATGAAACAAAGAGAAATTCTTGCACATTCTAATTTTGAAATTTAATCTTGACAAATGACCAAAGGCATGTTAAACAAAGGGATTCCAACATATGTATTAACATTTATTTTACAACAAGCTTAGTTTATCATTACTCTGCTCAGCTTATTCATTTACCATTTTATTACATTTTCTTTTTTAAATTGTTAGCCAGCATTTGATTTACAGCCAAGCTTTTGCACTTTATTATTTATTTACGAAAATTTAAAAGACTTTTCCAATAAAGCTTAGTTTATTTTTCTGTGACACATTTTCGGTTGACATTGAATGCTTGATAATAGCCATTTTCTGGAAATAATTCGGTTTTAATTTAGTTTTACGAGTAAAAAGCAACATTTCAAGGGTTGACTGGGGATTTATTCTGTTTGGGTTTTCTTTTCGTAGTCAAGAAACCACAGCTATGTGCAATTGTGCGTGGAATTTTTATGAAATATTTAACCAACGCTTCAGAAACGACAGAAAGGCAGAAATAAAATTAAAAGAGGCAGACTGCCAGCTGAAAGAAAAAGGTGACCGGCAACAAGAACGTTTAATTTTGCAAAATTGGTTGTCAAGGTACGCAGACTGGCTGACATTTTAATGCTTTTTTAATGCTTATGATATCCACTATGAAATGGGTTTTGGGTATATTATTTTCGTGACGAGGATTAAAAAATAGAGGTCCATAGAAAAATGTGGAATGTATATCTAATTAGTTTTTGTACAAATAAACTAATAACATGATTTCTTTATTATAATATTTATATAATTTAATAAGTTAAAGAATAACTAAAGCATATTAAAAAAGCTTATAATATTCTTTGGTAGCAGCAAACTGGATCCTTATGTTCACCTGTTTTTGTCATAACGTTTTTAATGCCTCTGTGGTTTTTTTTCTCTAGGCATAACAAGCAACAGATCGCGTCAGTAACCGACTTCATTATTTTGGCTAAATCCGAAAAACCAAGAAAAAAGGGCCTGAAAGCACGGATTGGTGAGGGAATGTCCGGGTGTTTCCATTGTGGCCTGCTGTCCGTTTATGTCGCGAAAACTTCGGTGTCCTAATCTGCTGCCTGACTTGCATACTAATTTGTTTGGTTTTCCCAGCCCCACCCACTTTGGTTGGGTTTTCCCCTCCTATCCATCGACCTTCAGCTCGTTTGCCTTGCCTTTATGGTCTTTTGGGCTGCTGACAACCCGTAGATTATGTTGTTGGCTTTGGCTTGGGCCTGGTCCAGCGCCTTTGTATGCCGGCCAAGTTCGAGTGTGTTTTTGGGTGTGAGTTGGCCCAGTGTCATGTTGCCTTGGCTTACAGATTTTACGGAGGTTCCATTGGCCCTCAGACTTGTTTGTTTATTTCTGCCGGCCGTCCATAAAACCCTGTTTAGCTGCTTAATTTTTTCCTTTGTCATGTTGACAGTCTCTCTCGGCTCAAGGACTTGTTTTGTGGGGTTCATTTTTCGCACAATTTAATGTTATTTAATTGGCATTTAAGTTTGTGAAAATGCTTCTGCTTTGAGCCGCGATAAGGCCGACATTAAATTAATGTCAGTCACTCTTTTAATTTTTGCCTGAGGAATCAGCACCCAACTTCATAAATTATTTATATTTTATTGCTCTTAAAAAAGCTTTATAAAATATGGCCAAAGTTATAAAATGCATGACCAAGCACAATGGAGTCTATAAAAGAATAGTCCAACATTTATGGTAAATTTAGCTACCAACACACCGCTAAATAAATCGGCTTGAAATTAATAATTTGTGACATTTTAACTACTCTGTTGAAACCGCATCTGGCATTTTTTAGTAAGCTTGTGTTACAATTTTCTATGCCCTTTGCAATGGATCTGGCTCTGTTTTTACATTTTGTTAGCCGCGCAAATTGCATTGGTCCTCTGGCGATGGGTCAGATGTTAAAAAGTTGACAGCATCAGCGGGGAAATCTGCAGCGAAAAAATGCTTATATAAACATAGACCATTTCGCGCTAACTCCAAAACAACAGGGAAAAAATCACTGAACTCGTGCTGGGAAAAAAATTTAAAAATTCAATTTAAAAAACATGCCGGAATTGTTCCCATTCCTCTGTTCACAAAATAAAATTGGTTATGGTTAGAGTTGCAGCCAAACACTTTATGTTTTTTAGTTTTTAGTTGGCCAACATTTTCGTGGAAAACTGAGAGCCACGGATAAAACCGTATAGTATAGTTGTTAAATTAATATTTAGTTAGTGAATTGATATCTGAAGGGGGTTAATTGAAAAACAGCAAGTAATAAAATATGCGCGCACTTAGTTTTAAGCCAAAAATTAATTAGTTATCTCAGTTATTCGCTGGCATATCGAAATTCCGCAATTAAAACTGCGCCTGGCCAACAAACTTGGCTTTTAGCAGCTGCCAAAGTGGCAGCACGCATACGCAGTGTGTGCCGAGCGTTCTAATTGCCTGCATTTATGGAGTGACCATTAAGCCCGAATGCAATATGTAATGTTAGCTCCGTTCCCCAGCTGGTTTTTCACTTTGGGTTATGGACAAAGCCTTAAGTTCTCTTCTTTTTTTTTATGTCTGGCAGAAAGCCAAGGGCGGAGGATGGTCCCAAAGAAAGTCCAAGATGCTGGAGCATCTTGTGCAAAAACAATTTGCCCCAGGATAGAAACGTTAGGCGAGCAAACGTGTTGGCCAGATAGAAAAGGGACTACATAAATTCGAGAGGGAAAGTATTCGATGTTGGTCCAAACGAGCTGGCTCACAATGTTTGGCATCGTGTCGGAGCATATGACTATGCATATTTGAAAGGCAATTTCCCCAGTGTTCGGGCCATCGATGCAAATGCAATTTCATTCTGTTTACCAGGCACTTAACAACGTCCCCCTTTAATGCTGAATTTATCCCTTTTCATATCCGTTTGGCCTAAGGCCTTATTTGCTCAACATTCTGCAGCAGCTTGCATATGTGTTCCATCAACTGAATTGCACAAAAATTCGCACTTCCGCATTCACATCCGCCGAATATGTATTTATATCGATCAGCCACCTGCGCTGCACGCTTTCGACAATTTTCGCACTTAAACCGCAGAAATTTTGTTAAATTTTCATTAAAAATACATGGGCTTGCAATTGTGGCAGCTGTGTCGGCATCAAAATGTCACTCGGCCCTCAACCCCCCCTGAAAAGCTTTTGCATCCGCTCCTGCAGCCATGTGTGAAAAGTTTCAGGGGGGTTTTATGGGGCAAGGGGATGATGGGCTGTTCTTCCAACGGAATATCCAAACAAGTTACACCATTTTGCAATTATATATGTAAAATATCCACGTGGGCGTGGCTGTCGGGTTTATTTTATTTAAAGCTACCAAGAGTGATGCCCAAAATGTGTGGAACCACTTTGGGAAAGTTTCTCTGATTTTAAAAAAGTACCTGAAGTTTTCCTCCCTTAAGTAAAATAAATAACATGAATATCTTTACACATATCGTACTTTTCATAGAATCCATAAAATGCATTTAAACCCAATCTATAGTTTATTCAAAATAAATTATGGCCGAAACTGCAAGTGATATCATGAATTTTGTTATATGTATATGGCAGCCCAAGAATTTCAACCAATAGCTCTCCGATTAAATTGCTCAATTAAGTATCTCCACAAACGCATGCCAAGTCAATATATATTTCACATTATACTCTTATGCGAAGCTCCACATTGCTCTGCATATATCAAAATAATCAACTATGGAATTCTATCCACATTCCATTGAACCCGTTTCCCCTTCGCATATTGCCATATTTGTCAACCACATGCCATTTATGCCACTGGGCTTTCCATAATTTATTTGCATACACTGAGATACAGATACATGTGACTTAATACCGGAGCCGGGCATTTAATTAAGGCAAATCCGTGGCCATGGAATGTCCTGGTTCACAGTGCGAGTATCACTGCAGCATTTAATAATGTCAATTTCGGTTGACTTGGGTGCGTTGATTTAGTTAAGACTGTGGCTTTGTGTATGCCAATTTACAGTTCTGCCGCCACTGGAGGATCCTGTGACCGACGGACCGTGTAGGTCAATTGGAAGCCCGTTTCGGAGGCACTGGACTGCGAATCACTGGCGAATCGCAGGACAAACGGTGGTCGGGCCACGATTTCCTGGCCGGCCAGTCCATTGCCACAGTAGTAAGTGGCCTGCAGCTCCGGTCTGGCGACCATATAGGCATTCGAGATGCCCAGGTAGTCGGATACTCGCAACGGGGTCAACACCGTGCTGCGGCAATCGGTGTCGTAGGCGGGTCCTTGCTGCTCGGAGTTCGCCTTCGAGAGCTCAAAGTGCTCTATCTTGTAGCTGTTTTGTTGGGAAGACACAAAATATATCATTATTAGGAAACTTTCATTACTAGAAATAATGTTAAAAGATAATTAAAGCCAATTGATTGTCCAGAAGACTTATTTATTGCAAACTTTTTTTCGAGTTCTAGTACTAATTTAATAACCTTTTAAATTTATTTATTTATTTAATTAAAACTATTCATAGAAAATAAAATTGAAGGCCTTATGACACACAGCCTAAACTAACTTCTGTCATCAATGAAATGTTGATGGCAGCCGGTTGATGTCTCGGAAGTCTTATTTATTACAAATTTTTTTTAAGCTCTATATATTAATAACCTTTTACATTTATTAATTTATTTATTTAATTAAAACTATTCGTAGAAAATAAAATTGAAGGCCTTATGACACACAGCCTAAACTAGCTTCTGTCATCAATGAATTGTTGATAACAGCCTAGCTCCTGTCATCGATGAATTGTTGATGACAGCCTAGGTCCTGACATGTCGATTAAGAGTTCACAAATTTTTCACTGTTTGTAGCCTAGCTGCCGTCATCGATAAATTGTGATGAATTTTTTACTTCTGTCAACCTAGCTACTGTTAGCGATGAATTGTTTATGAATTTCGCTGATGTTTGTTGATTTTATAACTTTTGTACGCTGAAGGTGCGATCGTGACTTCTTTTTAAACTCGTTAAGAGGTGAATAATATTTCAAAAACTGAGGAATCCCAAACGCTGTATATTCCCGCCAAATTTGCAGGTTTTTCCAAAAGTGGTAGTAAACCTTAAGCAGTTTAATGAAGAGGTCATGCAATTTTTATTACACTGAGCTGAAACGGATTCGAGTTCTGGTCGCTCAATAACTTCCAGCCGATAATTTTTATGACTATAAGAGTTAAGTATCAAAAGTTGATGGATCACAAGAGCTATATAGCTTGAAATTTAAAAAATAATCATTTAAACTAATTTTAAGAAAAAGGTGATAAGAAAACCTTTAATTATAACTTCACGTCTTTGTATTTAGACAATTTAAACAAAGGCAGTATGTTATTAAATTACCAATTTAGCGACATTTAGGCACATCTCTGTAGTACTACTTGTTTAGCAAATATAAGCCTTTTTTAAGATAGCCCCCTAAGCTAAAGGGTTTTTTAAAAAGCCGTAGAAAAAAAAGAATAATATAATTTTTATCTGTTAAGTTTTTGCGATAACTTTCGATTGGTGTATCACGTGTAAGTAAGTGTCGTCCACAGTGGTACCTTGCCTATGCCATATATATTTGGAATTCCCGACTTTGGACTGACTCACTCACCTTATCTCGTTGTCGGCTGCTCCCTTGACACAAATCGAGTACCTCATGTTGGGCATATAGATGCCACCGGCAAAGTTGAAGCTCACGATGCCACCAGTCGTGGTCCTGAAGTACTGATCGCAGCCCAGCGGAGCCAGCAACTCCAGATCGGCCACGGAAGGCGATCTGAGGGTCTGGATGAGCTGGGCGGCAGGACCGGATCCCGAACCGATTCCATTTTGACCGCCGAAAATGGTGCGCGGCAGGAGATTGCCCAAAAAGGGCAGGATGGGCCGTACAGTTGGTACCTGCACCACGGGTTGCCTTCTATTCCCACTAACCGAATCCCTGGGGCACTCCAGCTGGGTGAGAGTCACCTGCCAGGTGGACTGCCTGCCGAGGGGCGTGGCCAGCTGGAACAAAAGCTGCAGCTCCTGACCCAGGCGCATTGGTAAATACAAGTGCTGACCGCTGTTGCGACCGCAGAGCCGGAAATGCCGAATCTGCAGAAAATCGACGCACTCCAGCAGTCCGGAATTGGCATTTAACTGCGGCTGCGGCAGCTCCAAGCGCTCGAAATCCAGGCGCACCTGACACACCTGACCGCTCCATGGCGCCACGCGGTACTGGCAAGTGTCCAACTTGGCCATCTCACCTGTGCCCGGACTGCTGAAAACGATGCGTTTCTGGCGGACAGCGCCGCTCCTCGCATTGCAGGCCACCTGACAGTGGACAGGTGTAAATACAGGTGCGACGAGCACAAGGGCAAGTGTCAGCAGGGTGAAATCCATTTTGGCCCAATTCGATGTGGGCTACGCGTTTCGATTGGGAAATTTTCGCTGAACAGCGCTTTTATATCAGTTTCTGAGAGCAATTGTATATCTATCGGCAGATAACTGCCATTGACATTCAGCGATAAGGTTCCGAAGATGTTAGCTGGCGATAATGTATCTCTTGGTTGTGAAATTTTTGGGGTGCCAAAGAAGTACCCACTTCGCTGAGTCAAACCAAAGTTAAAAAGTTTTCTTGCATTTTCAGTGCTTCATTACTGGGCTGCAAAAGAGTTTTAATACGCACATAAGTTTTTAAAGTAAATGCACCCTCTTAAAAAAATCAGACACTGAAAGGTTTTTAATTATCATAAAAAACTTTATTTTCATGGTTTTACTTTAAAAACTTAAGACGAAGACTTAACGACAGTGCATTAGTTGTTGATGTCTTAATTAAAGTTTGAGTTTTTGTTTGATGTAATAAAACTTGATTAAAATTGACAGCCAGCTTATAGATGCCTAACATTTTTGCTTTATGTTGGTCCTTGCAAACATACAGATTTGTCTCTTAGAAATATTTAAATCGTGTTAAATAATTCTAGATTAAATATAAATATACCTCTGGTACTCAAACCACTCCTAACAACCAAGCCAACCCAATCTCTTTAACTCGATAGGAATTTCTCCCCACTATCTATGTAATCATTATCGAATAAATAATGCGCCGGGAAGACATGCCAGGTATGCATGCAATCTTCCAGTTTATACCCTCACCATCCGGCAGATAACATTTGTTCTTCTTGGCTTTAAGCCTTCTTCTCAAATAGGAATTCATTGCCCAAACGTTTTATCAATAAATGCCACAAGGAAGTTTTACGCACATTTTATGACAGAGGACTTACACACACTCACATAGAGGCGTTTATGGCCGCCTTACACCATTTATGAGGTCCCACACTCACACTCTTGCAGCTAAAAAGGACCTTGGCGCACGTAAAACAATAAAATTCGAGGCATTTATATGAGCATACCTCTGATTGTATTTGAAAAGGTGGAGAGCATGTGTGCGATAGTACCTGCCCCGCCCCTCGAATTTACATAATATATATATTTTGCGGCATAGGTTACCATTTTTTATGCCCGCCCTGTAATTAAAATTAAATCCCCATCGGCGGCGTCTATTAAATTTAATGTTAAATGCAAGCCTTGTGACAAAAAATACGGCCGAGGTGGCGGTAAAATTAAACAAATGGCCAAATAATACTAAAATTGCATGCACAGTGCGATTAACATATCAACAGCGACAAAAAACATCATAAACCAGCGGGGAAATGTTTCACAGTGAATTTTCAGCTTTGCATTTTCAGGCCTGCAACTGCGGCAAGAACCATCAACAATGCCCACCACGGTGCACATTCGCGTTCAAGTTTTAAAAATTTATGGTCCAAGTAGAGGCCCAGTTAAAAAACAAAGCCAGTCGGCAAGCAACCTTCAAAAAAAATAAACATATTTTACGAGGAGTAGAAAAAAGCTCGTGCAGCCGTCGCATAAAAATGAAAACTATGTACTAATAAGCAAAAACAAGGTGGAAAAAGTGAACAAACTAACGTCATTAGCAGAAAGGAAAATGTGAAATATAAAGGGCGAAAAATTACCGGACTTATTCAAGGAACAGGGAATGCTCTTAAATTTTTGATGACCTTTTTTGTCCTAAGTGAAATGTAACGAGAATTAAATAAAATTATCTTGGATGTTATAAAGCAGTTTAGTTTATCTGAAAAAATAAAATTAGTTGACGAAATGTACATTTTATATTTTCCTTAAAAGTTAAAATATAGTTTAATTTTGAATATTTTCTTAAATTATTTTTGCCATTTTTCAAAAAAGGACATATTTTGAATTGTAATATACAAAAATTCTCGAGTCCAGACTGTTTATTTTGCATTGATTTTTTAGAACAATAAGTATTAATTCCAATAGTTTCTCGAAAAAGTTTTCAAGAATATTCTGTAAATGTGCGACCATCATTATTCATCCGAAAATGACTTTAATAAGTTTTGTAACCATACCCGAGGACACACAAAAAACTTCGCTCCAATCCAGCACACCCACTCAGCCATATATTCCCGGCAGACTTCATCAGCAATTTGTAATACCTAGTTTCCAAGGGCATTTCACAAGCCAAAAAAACATGAAAACACAAACTTTGGTTGTAACCGCAGCCACAGCAGCGCTCACGTATTTATGTCAATGTTTTGTTTTAGTTGTTGGCGGCAGTCTTGGCCACCTTTAACCCAAAACCCCTGGCCACGCCCTCGTTCCCCGCCCCCCGGTTGCATGTCGTGCCCATTTGCGTTACCTTTGAACCCCGGCACAAAAACAAGAAGTGACGCCCGTTCAGTTTCGCTTCGGGTCGAGACTCTTGGCTCTTGGCTCGACTCTCTGTTTGCCGTGCTCTGTTCTCGACTGAAGTCAGCTTTATGTGATCAACAACTTGTTTTGTTCTGGCTCAAGATGTATGTGAAAATGGAAGTAGTGTGTTCGAGACCAACAACAAAGACATCAAAACTACAAGTGCTGAACGTCAGAGACATGAAATCGGACTTATACGACTTAATACGGGAAATGATCACTAAGAAATTTTATATAAAATGATTTAGAAAGGATTTAAGAACTAGATGATAAAGATGATTTCTTATTATTCTTTTCTAAAACAAGTTTGGTATTTTTTATTTATAATAGTTAATAGTTTTTTAATACCTCTTTCAAATGTTTTTTATTACTAAAATTTTCAAAAATATTTCTTTATTTTTTCCTGTGCATTTTATTGTTTGAGGCTTCCAGCAGAGGTTGAGAAAAAAATATTCTTTAGCCAGTTGTCTTATAGTTTTATTGCTGTTTACTTTTTAGTTTAGTAGGGGAACCATAAAAGTGGTATGACAATCTGCTTGCAACTCCAAATTGCCTTTGCATTTTTTTTTTGTGCCACGGCTTGATCGAAACTTAGTGGAAAATCCAGCAGCTGGGCCACATAAAAAGTGGCATAAAAAGCCAATTAAGTGACATTCGATTGGTTTGCGTAAGGCGCAGATTGCACGGCAAGTCGTCATCCCTCGCAAGGGCGGGCCACGCCCCAATCATAAATATAAACAACGCCACGGCGACGACTTTGCCATCTAAAATGGAAATCTACCGGTAACAAGAACATGCATATTTCCCGGGACCGTGTTGATTTTTCTTGCCAGCCTTTCCTTCATGTTTGCTTATCAAGTGCAAATGCATGCAACTTGCAGCAGCAACAAACATTGCAACACGACAGCAACAGCAACAGCAATGGCAACAAAGCCATAATAATATCAACAAACAGCGCAGATAGGCAGCGCAGCGAAACAGCGACGTGTTGCTCCCTGCTGCCTTCAAGAAAAACGAGTTGTTTCCGGCACTCAAACACTTCTGATTGCAGTGCCAAAAAAAAAAAATGCATAAAAAATTCAGGAATATGCAGCACTTTTGTTGCCGACGCAATAAATTTAAATGCAATCGCATTAAGAGAGCAACCAACAAACGAAAGGATACGTTCTGGTAGCGGATTTCGGGACATGGTAATTTATGTAGCATACTTTATGGGGCGCGATGGCTTGTGAACTTGAACTTGGCTCGAGAAAACATTTTGGCTTTTCAAATTAACATTAAATTACTTATTTTATTTTAATTTTTAGGTAGAAAAATGGATAGTGTATTGGGTAAAAAAAAATAATTAAAATGAATTTTAAGAGGTCATCAAATTGAAGTTCTTTCCGCACAAATGCAATATTTATTTAGGTCCCCAGCACTTACCTTAAATATTTATAAATACAATTTGGCAGTCGTTCCTGTTTCTCTATTTTTTATTTCGCATTTTACTGCCCAATTGGAAAATCCGAATTTGAGAACACTTTCGTCTATTTTCGTTTGACTGGATGATGTTGACAAGAGCCGGAAAACAAACTGAAAACAGCATGTAAATAAGGCAGACAAAAACAAAGTCCGTTGTAGATTTCGAATTGCTTTCTTTTCCTTTGTATTTAATTTAATGCATTCCAGCCATCAGCATCATCATTGTAATAAACTTTCAGTCAGTTTGGCTATTCTTATTACTTTTCAAACTTTTCTCTCTGTCTCTATTTCTGCAAATCTTGAAGTCTCTGCTATTGTGCATTTCTTTGTTTTCTGGGGAAAACTTTAAGCAAATAATAACTCAGAGAGACTTGAGGTAATGGTTAAGGGATTCCAAAGGAATTAATGTGCAATCAACTATCGGACTTTGCCACCCAAAAGCCACTTTTGTCAGCCGCCCATCCGTCAAAGCCTTTTACTCGGGCAACTTTGCTCGACCTTATTTATGTGCGTCGGCTGCAGGAGCCATGAATTGACTTTGTGACTTTGAAGTTGGGCGCCATGCCAACGCAGGTCCTTTCCCCTCCTCTATTGTCCTCCACCCGCATAATGTGCATGACAATCCTTGCCCCCACAACCCCGATTCCTGCTGGAGACAATGACATTGTTGCCGGCTCCGCTTGCCACATGATGCACTTGATGCCAGGCGGCGCACAATATGTCCTTTGATTTCCGCAGACTGAAAGTCAACCGCAAGCCACAAGATTGAGGATGATTTGAAAGCAATACACACTGCTTATATGGGGGGAAATACTTTGAATTCCACGCGAGTGCCTCGCAAATAGATGAAAAATGATGATGAGGCTGGTATAATCGTGTGGAAGTGTTGTGCACACAAAATTGAACTTTATTAATGTGCTAATTTAATATGAGGAATGCATTTCACATTCCACGTTTCAAATTGTTTCACATACATTGAGCTTATGAGAAACAATATTGATTTATTTAATTTTACTCATGTTTCAAAATGAAAACAAGTCCTAGTCATTGCTGTCATTATTAACTTACATATTCATTTTATTACTTGTACTGCCAAATACTTCAAGACAATTAGATATGTGGAACACGATTTGCAGTCATACCTAAACGAAATAATATACATAAACACAAACTACTTTGTGGAATGGAGGGTCGGAATCTAAAACTCGAAGCGGATTGTGGACCAATTGATGAAGATCTGGAAAAGGAAGAAGATCCCAGAAAACCTTTGGCGAACAGCATTGATTTCCGAGAAAAGTCGATAGTGGAAAACATAAATGCTGACCAAGATGCCATAGCCAAAATCCAATATCTTAGCTCAGAGCACGGCATGTTGGACAAATATCTAGATAACCAGGAGCAAGATACATCACTTCGCAAGTATTTGGGCGTCGGTGTTCATTGGGTCTCCCTTCTCACCGAAAACGTTTTGAGCCATCCCTTTCTAGTGTTGCGTTGGCAGTGTCAGGTTTATAATGCATCCAAGTGTTACCACCTACATCCCTTTACCCTGCTACCCAGTATTGTCCATTTGCACCGCCGTCAAGGACTAACGACATTGTGGAAGGGAATGGGAAGCTGCCTCCTTGTGCGCGGAATGTCCTATGCCATCGACGATTCCGTCTCGAAACTCACCAGTTGGCCCAAGGAACTGGATAGTCGAATGACCCTAAAGCGATTCGGACAGCATGTTCTCCTAAAATCTATAAGTATCGGGATGGTGGTGCCATTTCACGCCGTTTCTTTGGTGAGGACAGTGCAAAGCGACATTGCCAGCGAAAAAACAGGACTTCTAGATGTCCTGCGGGAGGGGGGAATGCGTCTTTTCTACTGGAGTTCCCCGCAAAAAGGACGAATGATGCCCGCTTGGGCTTTAATCGGTCCCAGCATATCGATTGGCATTACAAAGTATCTTTTCAACTTGTTAATACACGGCGCTTCTAAGCGCATGATGCGCAGGAGGATAGCGGACTTACATAAAAATCGTGGCAGGAAATTTTGTGACCAAAAGCTGGACAATCAAAATGCGGAATTATATGCCGGTCTCATCGCCATGTTAACCACCGAGGTCATATTCTATCCTTTTGAGACCATTTTGCATCGATTGCAACTGCAGGGCACTCGAACAATAATCGATAACCTCGATACTGGCTATTCCGTTGTCCCGATTCTAACAAACTATCAAGGAGTTTTCGATTGTTATCGCGAAATAATTCATTCAGAGGGTTTTTCTGGTCTCTACAAGGGCTTTGGAGCAATGATCATGCAATTCGTAGCCCATGTGGCCATAATTAAACTGGCCAAATGGATCGTCAATCAAATAGTTCAGGGTATGTCGAATCGTCCATCATCACGAGCCATACAACCCTATAATCTCGATGGCATTTCCTACAACAAGAGTATTACGACACTATCGCCAAGCATTTCCAGCACCGAACTGGATGCGACCAGTCTGGAAAAATATATACTGGATTAAGCAGCTCTAAATGTTAATAATTATGAGAATAATTTATAATAATTTATATTTATAAAAAAACTAGTTTTTTTAATATTGGGAATAAGACAGGTTCTACTTTAATATCATCTAATTAAACTTACACATCCCTAGGTTTTAGTTTAGTTTGAGAGACTAGGTGTTTACCATTTAGACAGCAACATTTGGTAGTCATTTGGATATTTAATCAAAACTCTGTTCATTGAAAGTCTGCCATCGGGCTGTCATCCTACAGTCATAGACAAATAATTGCATGTATTTCCAGGTCAAATCAAGTGGTCCACACGTCGTATGCGCAATGTATGCATGCCAATATTGGCAAAATACTTTGCATGTAAATCGAGGCTATGCTAATTCATGAGCAGCAAGTGCAGTGTTGACTGCTAGAGGCTTCAAATTTCTATTTATCTATGCATAAGTCATGGCTAATTGATTTTCTCCATCATTTGCTATTGTTTGTTTTTGCAGGACAGTGGAACTGACCACGATAATTTAAAATTACAATTTCCAATGATGTGCTGCAGATACGTACTCGAAATCGCTGGGATTGCGTTCTCATTCTTGTTTGTGTGCACGTAATGCACATAAAGTTGCTGCTTCGTGCCCCCAGAAGCCGTAAAGCCAATTCGCAAGACGGCACACACGGCGTATACTTAATACACACGTATGCAACGCGTGACTGCTGCAAGGATCCAAGGATGCGAGCCCAGGGATGCCAAAGAAATCAACTTAAAATGTGCAAATTGTTTATACTGCGACCCCTCTGCGGCCAAACACAAACATATATATGTTTGCCGGGATGGGTTAAAGTATGTGCCGGACATTGAATAAGATTAATGAAGGTTTTGCCCCTGCCTCTTGTGTTGCCCATTCTTTTTCCCTTTATGTATGTTTGGTTTCGGGTCGGCCGCCTGCTGCGGTATCGTGGTTGGACCGCAGGATGATGCCTTTGCCCCTGCTGCTAAAATATTTTCGCAGTCGGCCTCGGCTTGTTCTGCAGCAGCTGTAAGCGAAAAACATATTTCAATGATGCATGCAGATGCACATGCACATGCACATGCACCCCAAAAACAACATCAGCCGGGCGTTTCGCGCCCGCCCAAGCCAACAATAAACTGGCCAACAAACAGTTTGAGCCGGGCTCAAAAGAAGAAGGATACGAAGCTGCTGGCCACAAACAACTGTCAGGAACATGTTGCGAAATGTGACAATTTTATTGGTCTGTCAGGGAATTATATATATCAGAAATGGTCACGTATTCACAGATGAAATTGGTCTTCGAGTGCGGGACTTAACTTTAAAAAAAAATTCAAGCAATTTAACAAGTGGCAGAGGTATTGGTAATTTTTATCTGAAAGTATACGTTCTGCTGTTATAAATATTTAAGTGATTTTTATATTCATAAGTAGGTGGATTTTGTATGAATTCTTTTTTTTAAAACCATTTTAAGCAGTTCTTTTTTTGCAAACAATATAACTAGATAATTTATTAAAACTCCAAGCAAAACTAAGTAAATTCTAAAAGCCACACTTTCAGATTTACCTCTTTAAATTCCCATTAGTCTTACAAAGTTTATAAGACACCTTTGCAAACTAATCCCTAATGGAATTATATCAAATATGAAAACTTTGCCAACTTTTTATCTCTTTACTGGCCACGCTTCTATCAGCATAATCATTTTGCAGCTTTACTAAAATAATTCCCTTAACTCCGAAGTGCAAAATAATACAAAAAACCGGCAAAGCAAGTAAAACTGCAGACATATTTAATTATAAATGCAGTTCAACTTTGCCAGGAAAGTGAGAGAAAAATCAGGGAATGTGAAGCTTGGGAATAGAGTACTTGCTGGTAATCAGCGAAGCACAAGCTCCATTTACTCTGAGCTATCTACTCAAATTGCAATTTAATGAGCTCATTGACAGGTGGCAGAGCAGCTTGAAAAAGGAAAAAAATGAAGTGTTCCCGGACTAAATGAAGTGTGATTCCCCACTAAACCAAATGCCATATTAATCATCAGCTTTAAGTAAAAACTCTGGGTATTCCCAGCAGCGAGACCTCAACACTTTTTCCTGTGTGTGTGCGCACTGACAGTGTTCCATTTTTTAATTAACCGCCAGAGGATCGGGGACCGGGACCCAACTGGTTGGACTCCGGAGACCCGGCTGTCAGTTTACCTGGATGTGGAGTTCTGTTGACATTGCCACCGTCATGCGACATTTTGAATACGGCCTGGCAGCCAATTTGCTTGAGTTGCAAATGTGGCAAGGGGTTGAATAAACGGGTGTGAGTGTGAAAACGAGTGCGAGTGCCTGACAGCTGTTGCTCGAGTACATTTTAAGGAGCTGCTAATGAGTCGCCAACTCGCAGGCGGAAAAACTTTTCAAGAGAACAATTTCTTACGGCACTACATAGTTTCATACTTCATTTTCCTGAATCAGAGAAATGTCCGATGAAATGTGGTGATATTCTGATGACAGGCTGTTTGCTGTAGATTTTATCATTGCTGTTTTAGTTCGGAATTCTTCAACAAGTTTATTTATCACACATTTATTTCTTTATTATTTATCTTTGATGTTTTAGTTCATTTTGATTTTCCGTTTTCAAACGTTTTTATTGTTATGTTGTATATTCTTATTTGTACAACTGTTTTTAATATTTATTGCTGGGTAATTCCACCATTTAAAGAGTCTATAAAACCTTACCTTTCCATGAAAAATAAATACTCAGTTTAAATTCTTTTTAAACACAGTTCCTCATATAACCTTTTTATTAAAGTATGTTGCAACATTTAATCCCTTCCTCAAACTGAAGACATCTGCTTGCGTTTACTGGCACTCGTGTTTAAATATATGCTTGCATAAAGCAGTCATCCTTCATCCTTCTTTTCATCCGCGGAATGCAGTTTACACGACCGTGGAAAATATCCCGGGAAATGGGAAAACGGGGCGGAGAACAATGGCTAACAGCATAACGCATACGACGTGGGTGCCCGAGTTTGCTTTGGGTCCCCGTTCGAGGTCCGAAAAACAAAAATCAGCGTTTAAACGGAAGCGTTCGCGCACAATTATGTAACAAGAGCGCTGGAATAGAGGGAAAATTGGGGGATATTCGAAGAAGGCGATTACCATTTTTTTAAGCATCTCTTTTCTTTTGGCGTTAAATTAAAACAACGAAATATAGCCAGTTTATGAGGTAAGCACCAGCATAAAGGGCAGCAGAATCAGATAGCAAAACAGAGATACAGAGTTTTCTTCGTATAAATTCACACTAAACAGGGGATTTCGAATGGATTTCCTAAGGCTGAGGCAACAATGGCATACTCGGCATAATCGCCCCCGTCTGAAAGCGCAGCATCATCGAAGGCAAAGGACGAAGGCGACAGTGCTGACGGGTGACAGGATGGCAGGATGAGAGGATGGTGGGTTGCGGATTGGGGATTGGGATGCCGGAGATGATGGGCATGACAGGCGGAACAAACGAGCTCGACGTATATGGAGACCATACCCGGCGCACAGCTGTTGCAGACCCACTCCCTCGCAGTTTGCTCAGCACTCTTTGCCCAATATATATTAAGTCGGCCCCCATTTCACTCCCCTTCAAACCAAGGAGTAGCGTTATAAATCGCATTAAGTGGATCATACTTTGCATATGAAGTGCCCGAACTGTCAGCTCATCCACCGTCTTACTAACTATCAGGGGTGGGATTTTTTCGTACTTTGTAACAGTTCAATTCGATGTATTTTCTTCAACTATTCAATTAATTTCTGTGTCCACTCAAAGTATTCTATTGTGGATTAAATAAGTTAAACCATTTCTCAATATTTTCTGATTTATCAAATTATAATATATTTACTTCCTATATGATTTTTGAAATAATAAACTATACAAAAATATGTATCATTTAAATATATTTGTACTATTTTGCTTAGTCGTAAAATCTAATAAATGAATATATTTAGAAAGAAGAGTTAAATGTATTTTGTTACAAAGCTAAAAGTGTAATTTCTGCTTAATCCTCAACATTATTTTTATTAATTTATTTTTTTATTGTTATGTTTAAGAAAAAATGTTAAATGTAGTTTAAGTTCACAAATAATACACAGTAACAAACTTTATTTCTGGTCTGGTTTTAACGTTTAAGCTTACCAATTAATATTCGATTTTCTATAATTATTATTTCCAAATCGAAAATACAAATTTTCAATTGAACTTTTTACAATACCTTTGAACTTTAGACAAAAGAACACTTCTTCTGCGAAACCTAGGTATCCCATCACCATTGACAACCCAGTTTCAGTTGCCCCAGCTGAGGAGCAGATAAAAAGAAAGCACTTTAACATAACAATGAACCCCAGCAACAACGCAAAACGAACGCCAACGAACGCAATCAAAATTCAAAAGTTTCATTTGCAGGTAAATGCTGGATTTACTCGGAGGATTTTAGTGTCCTGGCGCCTCGTCGAGCTCCTCGTCCTTGTTGTCAATTGTTTGGCAGCGCATGATGAATGACGCCGATAGCACTTCGCGATGATAGCGCGAATTTGTAGCCGCATTAACTTGGCCACCGTGAAGTTTCCCGTTTCGGGACCTGGGGTCAACACAGGTTGGCTGCGAGATCTTAATGGGAATGCTAAGTAGAGCATAGTTGTAAATTATGCGAAAAACTTTTCCACCACTCACTTCTTTTGCTCGATTTTTCGCCCCACTATGAATGATGAAAAATACACGTTCATCGACCCAGATAAAATACAATTTTTCTAAAGAAATCTCTTTCGTTTATAAATAGAAAATGGTTATTTCTTTGGCAAAAAATTTAAATAGCTTCGCCTGTAAAATTTATCTTAAATTAATGCAAGGAGAGTCGATGCAAAAAATATACAAGTCTAGACATTGTCAAAAATAACTTTATCGATAAAAGTAAATATTATGGCAACTCGTAAAGTTAAACTTTCATAAATATGTATTTATACTGTACCAAGTCGGCT